TCAAGCAGTGTTGTCCTGAAGAGTTGTCCTTTGCTAAAGTACAGAATACATCTCCCTCTCCATAACACAAGAGGGAGGGGTCCTGTAGTCCAGATGGGAAGAACAGGCCTAGGCTGATGACGGTGCTCATGATTTCAGTGCAGCAGAGGCACTGGGGGTTATTTACTAAAACCAGAGTGCAAAATCTGGTGCAGCTCTGCATAGAAAACAGCTTCCAGGTTTTATTGTCAAAGCTTAAAGTGTTAAGAAAGGAAGGATTTTTTTTTTCTATTAAGATAACAAACATGGTATACTCACCTGCTCTGTACAGTGACATTGCACAGAGCGGCCCCAATCCTTCTCTTCACAAGCGATTCTGGCTCCTCCTTTTTGTGTGCCCTCATAACAAGCCGTTTCCTATGGGGACAAACACTGCATCCCAACCTGTGTGGCCATGAAGCCGCGCTCCATAGACACAGCTGGACTTAGCCCCACCCACCACTTCCTCTTCACCACACTTGATTGAAAGCAGCAAGAGCCAATGGCTCCTTTGGAAGGGGGAGCACAGGGAACTTAAAAACGTTTTAATGGAAGCAATGCATTAAGATAAAAAACATTTTTAGGTTTAGTATCACTTTAATTGAACAAGCTGAAGTTAGAAGCTGATTGGCTACCAGATTCTGAGTGCACAAGTTTTAGTAAATCTCCCCCATTGTGTTAGCTTAACATGAAATTAGGGGCTCACTGACAGCTTTCTGACAGATCAATGGGTATTTTTCTGCTCCTGTAGCAATTTTAAAAAAATAAAACAAAACAAGGGAAAAAGGAGTTTACCGAATATTTTTCTCTTTTTTTTTTTTTGCTGAGACATACACTTTACTAGCTTTCAAAACATTCAGGAGACAGCCTGGCACAGTACAGATACAGGACAGTCCAAAATGACTTCCTTACCCCATGAAAGCAGTACGATCCGCTAAGAAACTCTTTGATCAGCTGCTCATCAGTCAGCTTGGAGATGTGTGTGGTTCCCACAGTCACATGCTGTTGAGATCCCACAGTGACCGGCTTGTGAATGGTGGAGAACTTGTCCTTCATAGATGGTTTCTCTTCCTGTAATTACATGTACAGAACATACAATGACAAACATACTCTGAGGACTTTATCATCTCCCGCAGTAGATCTAACACATGAAAAATTGTTCCGGTCTCTGGTGGGGTTAGATCTAAATATTTTTTGGGAGGTGGGGTTGGGTATTTGTCTTTAAGAGTTCACGCAAAGCTTGTGATCGTACAATATACATTAGGGGCCAATCAGTACATTGTTTAGTCATGTGATCATGCCAATAATTAAAGTGTTAATAAAACCATGACTCTGCATTCACTATATCTGGTCTCCCCGGGCCCTGCATCCACTATAGCTGGTCTCCCCGGGCCCTGCATCCACTATAGCTGGTCTCCCCGGGCCCTGCATCCACTATAGCTGGTCTCCCCGGACTCTGCATCCACTATAGCTGGTCTCCCCGGGCCCTGCATCCACTATAGCTGGTCTCCCCGGGCCCTGCATCCACTATAGCTGGTCTCCCCGGGCCCTGCATCCACTATAGCTGGTCTCCCCGGGCCCTGCATCCACTATAGCTGGTCTCCCCGGGCCCTGCATCCACTATAGCTGGTCTCCCCCGGACCCTGCATCCACTATAGCTGGTCTCCCCGGACCCTGCATCCACTATATCTGGTCTCCCCCGGACCCTGCATCCACTATAGCTGGTATCCCCGGACCCTGCATTCACTATATCTGGTCTCCCCGACCCTGCATCCACTATAGCTGGTCTCCCCGGACCCTGCATTCACTATATCTGGTCTCCCCCGACCCTGCATCCACTATATCTGGTCTCCCCGGACCCTGCATCCACTATAGCTGGTCTCCCCGGACCCTGCATCCACTATAGCTGGTCTCCCCGGACCCTGCATCCACTATACCTGGTCTCCCTGGACCCTGCATCCACTATATCTGGTCTCCCCGGACCCTGCATCCACTATATCTGGTCTCCCCGGACCCTGCATCCACTATATCTGGTCTCCCACAGTACACAGAACATTGAAATGCAATTATTTTAGAAAATATAAACTGCTAAATACCTTTTCTCATCAGCAGTATGTATTAGTCTTGTGATTTCTGTCAGTGTCCAGCTTGTAGGAGGAGTTTTAATTCTCCTCTGACTGTCCTATGAGGCTGCATAACCCCTAACCCTCTGTCTGGACAGTGCTGATTGGCCCTGTGCTGATCACATGCACCCTCCCAAAGAAAAAAAAAACCTCTCTAGCAATACACATTAAAATGAGCATGTGCAGAGTGACTCCTAGAGCGCTGTACTATCAGCAGATGGATTGGGGACAGTAGAAGGGGCGGATCAGACAAGACAGGATCAAAACACAATGCAGAGGATTAACCCCTTAGCTTGCAAAGTATAAAAAGCATGCTTTACTGCATATACAGACGGATTTCACTGTTGCGGGTTTAGTAACACTTAAAAGATGTCCAGCTGTGTCATATTGGATGATAAATACTAAGGGCCTAGTTACACTTGTCTGTTCTTGTGAGCTGCATTAACACACATTTTGTAACATCCTCCATGAGCTTCCAAACTGCTCTTTTTCCCCCTTCACTTCCATTCAGAAAGAGCAGTGCACATTAGGTGTGGTCCTGTGCTCTATTGTACAATACACATCCCATAGTCTATCTCAGGAGCCAGCAAGAGAGGGTGGCTATGTTCCTACATACAGTGTGACCATGTTGAACACTGCCACCCTCTAACAGGAAAAAAAAAAAAAAAAAGAGAACAAAATATAAATTTTGAGAGCAACAGAAGGGACTTTTTAAAGTTAAAAGAACATACTTAAGTAGAATTTTTTAGTTTGCAAAGCTTAATGTCACTTTAAAGTGGTTCTAAAGGCAGAAGTCTTTCACCTTCATGCATAGAATGGGTGCAGCTCTCCCCTCAGCCCCCCTTCTACTTACCTGAGCCCCATCACGATCCAGTGCTGTGCATGAGAGTGACGACTCTCCTGTGTCTCTCTTCCCTCACTGGCTTCATACAACTAGAGTGCCTTGAAAAAGCAATCATACCCCTTTAAATTTTCCACATTTTGTCATGTTACAACCAAAAACGTCAATGTATTTCATTGGGATTTGATGTGATGGTCACAAAGTGGCACATAATTGTAAAGTGGAAGGAAAATGAGAAATGGTTTTCAAAATTCTTTACAGATAAATATGTGAAAAGTGTGGCGTGCATTTGTATTCAGCCCCCCGGAGTCCACAAGATTTTAGTTACGGGTATCAGTTAAGGGGGCTGAATACAAATGTACGCCACACTTTTCAGATATTTGCAAAACATTTTGAAACCCATTTATCTATTTCCTTCCACTTCACAATTATGTGCCACTTTGTGTTGGTCTATCGCATCAAATCCCAATAAAATACATTTACATTTTTGCTTGTAACATGACAAAATGTGGAAAATTTCAAGGGGTATGAATACTTTTTCAAGACACTCACGTATTGGCTCCTGCTGCTGTCAATCACAACCAGGAGAAAGTGGAGGCCGTGGCTGAGTCACGCTCTGTGTGTGAATGGACAAATGTCCATTCACAGGAGCACAGCTACCATAGCAAGAGGCTTGCTATTGGGAGAACTCAGCAGGGGGGAGGAGCCAGGACTGCCAGAAGGGGGACCCAAAAAGAAGAGGATCGGAGCTGCTATCAGCAAAACCATTGCACAGTACAGGGAAGTATAACATGTTTGTTATTTTAAATGACAACTTTTGGAATCATTTTAAGGTAACGCTTGCATTAGCATGCATGTACTACACCACACTGCAGCACAAACAAGCGTTTCAGCCCTCAAACAAATACCTCTTTGTTGGGTTTAATTGGTGCCTTTAGTGTTTCTTGTTGCTGTTCAAGCTTTTCCAGACTCTGAGGCCTTAGAGGTGACCCCGGCAATGACTGGCAAAAAATATCATTTATAGGGGAGGTTTTAAACCTGTGTGAGAGAGGAAAGGGTTAATATAAGCATTGGCAACAAGACAAAGTCATACATATGTAGGGGGGGGGGGGGGGGGAGAATGTGGGGTTGTTTTGTCATTTCAGCTTACTTTGCCAATTGCATTTATTTTTAAGATTACAATTTGTATCTGATGCATACAATCTTTGTTTTACAATAAAAAAAAAAAAATTTTCTGACACAACAAAACATTTCTACAGCTTGCTTTGTATCTTCATTTGTCTAATAAAAATCTAGTACGGAATGATCACTACTGTGACGGCTCCCCGAGTTCTGCAGACAATGGGCTTCCTTCAGTAATGTCATCAAAATGGCAAAGCCATACATGAAAAGCAGACGAGAGCGCCATCTGCTGGCCCTAAAGCAGAATGTAGTCATACGATTATTAAGTCTTCTTGCATGGCGACCACTCCCTGTTATCTCACATATAGATTCTTATTATTATTATAGCCAAATTTACCACCCTAACTCCTCCCACAGTTTTTACACTACATAGACAGTAATATATACCGAAACGTGCGGATTGTTCCCGATTGGTGTGCTATTACTTTGTGGAACGTTTCGCCGAATGGTTCTCGAAATATCACCGTTTTTGTGGTGAAATTGGTCCCATAGGAATGAATGGCGGAATGTTCAAAACTAGAATGTGAGCTGAAAAAATCAGGATATAATTTCTAAATTGCCATCACTCCCACATTTTCAAGCCCACCTACACAAATCTTATATCACGTTCAGCTATCCCTGCTGTCACTAAAAATGTCTACGGCTAAGCCATAGTCCTGATAGTTTTCACAATATGACCATTTGTTTGCAACTCACGCCGACCATTGACATTCATTGAAAATGTACTCTAGACACCTGAAATTTGAAGGGCAATTTCTAAACTGCGACTGTGCCTTCATTTAAAATATTTCAGAGGCATACTATGCATCAAAATGTAGGTCTGGGTCTTGTGATTCTCACAATATAAAGCTCTTTACTGTAGGATGTATAGTTTTAAAACACTACAACCGTTTGGAGAGGCAACCGCCAGTGAAGTGAGCAAGTTGGAGCAGTTTGTTTATAACCATGCCTCTCCCCTTGCTGTAGAGTGAGTTTCCATAGGAACCCAGGTGTGTGAACAGCCAGCAGAGTGACAAAAGCTACTCCACCCACTGCAGTTATAGACTACTGGTGCAGGCAAGAACACGTCACACAATTTCCCCAGAAATTGTAGATTTCCTAGTTATTATTATTATACAGAATTTACGGTATATAGTGCCAACAGTTTGCGCAGAGCTTTACAATATAACGGGAGACAAAAATACAGCAACAATACAAGAGGGATAGGATGGCCCTGATCCTTGGAGCTTACAATCTAGGATTATGCAATATTTCATATTTATCAGACTTAGGGCTCATGTACATGCGGCGTTTGGAAAACTCTTCTGAACGATGTAAACGGACTGCTGGAAAACGTAGGTTACAAAAAGTCAGTTTAGCCGCGTTAGCATACCGCATTTATGTTTAGAAGCATTTTAAAAAGATAACCTCAGGAGACCTTCCCAAATGCCCAGAATGCACTAAAGAATAGTAAACAAAATTACTATTTCAGACATTTTGAGAGAAATAGAGAGAGCAGAAGCAGAGAGAGCAGTATGTGTGGAAATGACCTGTCTTTTCTGGTTGTGTTCACTATGGATCCCATCATGAGCATAATGCGGCACGTTCTACCATTGTTTCCTTCACGCAAAACCTGGAACTGACTGCGCTGGTGTGCCGGGTCCATTTGAATACATGGAAAACACTTTTCATGCATTTCTGATGATGGAAAAAGGCTCTGGACAGCATCTGGAAATAGAAGAGTTAAAAAAACGCTTCTAAACGCAAACGCTTATAAACGCGGTTACAAGCATTTGAAACGCTGGTAAAATCTACTCCTGAACGCAAGTTTGGTGTGTTAAAAAAAAAAACGACTGTAAACTCAACTGCCTGCAAACAACATAGTGTACATGGGCATATAGGAATCATTAGGGAGAAATAAACTACTGAAAAAAATGCTGAACAACTCCTGAACGTCAGTTTAGGAGCTGGAGTGTACATGAACCCTTAGTGCTCATGCACACTGGGAGTTTTAAACACGCTGGTAGAGATACCTGTAAATGTACCATTTTGGGGGATTTAGCATTTTTTTTTTTTACAAGAAAAAAACATTTATCACAAAAAATGCTCAAAAAAATGCTCAAGAATGACGGTTTGCCATGTTTTTACCACATTTACCAGCATTAGAGCATTTTTACAGCAAAAAATAAACTCATCTTGAAACCCACTAGTTCTGTTTTTTTTTTTTTTTCCAGCCACAAAATGATGATTAAAGCCTACATGTGTATGGACACATAGGATAGCACAGTGGGGAGTTTACTGGCTGTAGAAAAAAACGCCAGGAGCCAAAAACAGCCGCTGTAAAAACGTCCCGTGTGCATGAGGCCTCAAAGTGGAATGACAGGCTTGCTTTCATTCACCTTCCTGCAACTATATACATCTATACAGGGGCGGACTGACAACTCATGGAGCCCCCAGGCAATAAGAGATCATGGGGCCCCTGTGTACTCACCCACACCCAAAAAAGCCTATGAAAAAGCCAATGAAAGGTACCAGGGGTATCTCATGGGGCCCCCTACTGACCCCAGGCCCTCGGGCAGTGCCGGAGTGCTCGAACGGTCAGTCCGCCCCTGCATCTATAACAGCATTAGGGTTATAATTGTAAAAAGATGGTTTTCTCTACTGTTTTTGCTTTAAAATTGCTCCTGCCATGTGATTGCACAGCCTATCATTTTATTTATGCAGGGTGGCTGTTGGGAATCTGCTGGCAACTAGTAACATCATTAATGTCCTGGCTGTACTGAGACGTGGTGGGGCCAATCGCAGCAGTTTTGTAATGATTACACAGACAACGGTTTAAGGAAGTGCCTGTGAGCAGTCACTGTTGTCAGTAAAGCTCAAAAGATTGTTGATTGTCTGTTGATTCCAATCTAGACAATCAGCAAATTAACCCCTTGCCCTCCAGAAGATTTACCCCTCTTCCTGACCATGTAATTTTTTGCTGTTCGGCACTGCGCTATTTCAACTGGTAATTGCGCGGTTGTGCAATGCTGTACCCAAACAAAATTTACGTCTTTTTTTCCACACAAATAGAGCTTTCTTTTGGTGGTATTTGATCACCTCTACGGTTTTTACCTTCTGTGCTATAAACAAAAAACCAACATTTTTGAAAAAAAAAAGTTATTTTTCACTTTTGGTTAGAAAAAATATCCAATAAACTCAAAGCTAGTCATAAATTTAGGCCAAAATGTATTCTGCTACATGGCTTTGGTAAAAAAAAAAAAAAAAAAAAAAAAAATTTCAATACATGTATATTAATTGGTTTGTGTGAAAGTTATAGCGCCTACAAACTATGATATATATATATATATATATATATATATATATATATATTTACGTAGCTTTTACTTTCTGAGTGCACTTTTCTTGAGTTGCTCAAATGCCAGGGCAGTACAAACCCCTCAACTGACCCCTTTTTTGGAAACCCCAAGGATTTTGCAGAGACATGTTGAGTCCATGGAACATTTTATTTTTTGACACAAATTTTTTGAAAACAATTTTTTTTTACACAAAGTTGGCACTTTAATGATATAATGCTCATGCATGTCATGGGTATATGTGGAATAACACCCCAAAATACATTCTCCTACTTCTCCCGAGTATGGGGATACCACATGTGAGAGACTTTTTGGCAGCCTAGCTACATACAGGCCCCCAAAAAATCCAATGACCACCTCCAGGCTTTCAAAGGGCATATTTCCTCATATCACTTCCCCACTACCTATCACAGTTTCGGAGGCTCTAAAATGCCAGGACAGTACAAACACCCCCCCCCCCCCCCCCCCCACACACACACACAAATAAAGTAGACACCCCAAGGAGTTTGATAAGAGGCATAGCAAGTATTTTACAGATATCATAAAAGAAAAAAAAGAAAAGAAAATATACATTTTTGTTTTCTTTCTTCAGTTTACCAAAACCATGTGGCAACAAATGAGATCTGCAAAATACTCACCATGCCTCTTAGCAAATACCTTGGAGGGTCTACTTTTCAAAAAGTGTTCACATGAAAAAACAGTTTTTTTTTTGCTAGAAAATTACTTTGAACCCCCAAACATTATATATTTATTTTAAGCAGAGGCCCTAAAGAATAAAATGGTGGGTGTTGAAATATTTTATGTCAAACAGTATTTGAGCAGCGATTTTTCAAACCCAAATCTTTTGGGATAAAAAAAAAAAACACTTATTTTTTAGAATTTTAATGCACAAAAACACAATATATTGCCCAATTGCGCACCTATGTGTTAGTACAGCCAGAGCGACACACGGGTACTGTAGCTGCCACCTGGCCACAGTACATTGCGGGCGGGAAGCGGTTAAGATAATGCATAATATAAATGTTTTGGTTGCTACACATACCAAGGGCAGATTTTAATTTTTAACTGGAATAATCCACTTTAACCCCCTTGGATCAGCAATCACAGTATGGAGCATCGGTCTGCTTTTCCAGTATAGGGTATTTTAACCCTCACTACAGCAAATACTACAATTAAAAAAAAAAATGCACACATTTATTACTGCTAGTGCAGTCTGATGGCAGTACAGTAATATATAAAGCTTCAATCAGGCTTTAACCCAATTGTCACCCAATGATACAGCATAATAATTAAAGTAAAATTCCAGCCGAAACTTAAACTTAACTAGTCCTAAAAAAGTTCCCTTCCCCCTACAAACTCCTAATGCAGGCCAAGTTGTGTAAAAAAAAAAAAAAAAAAAAAAAAAAAAAAAAGAAGGATCCAGTAGCTGCAGGGGAGAGGAGGGAGTGCCGATGATGGCTGGAACATGGGAGCCTATGGGGTGACATCACTGCTCCTAGCTGTTGTCGGTGCTCTCTCCTCTCCCCTGTAGCCAGCTGCTGGCTGACATATGGGATCACGTCTGTCCTCAATAGGTGAATATTTACATCTTTTTCACATGGGTTAGCCAGCATAGGTACTAGGAGGGAAGAGTGAACATTTTTATAACAATTTATGTTTAGGCTGGAATTCTTAAACTGTCAGGCCTTGTTCACACCATACGTGCAGATGAGACATCAGGGTGGATAAAAATCAATGATTTAAAAAAAAAAAAAAAAAAATTGGATTTTTTTTGATTTAAATCGGATTTTTTAAAATAAAATGCTGTTTGAGGAAAATATATTACCATCCAAAGGTGAAATCATGAAATAAAGATTAGTTTTTTCATTATGTAGAATAAGGCTGTATATGTTTAATGTTTTTGGTAAATAAATTCCATGAATCCATTCACAATGTCATGCTCTTCCAGAGGTTTTTGTAAGATTATTGGGCAGTTTCTCTGCCTACAAGATATTATCACAGATGATTGGTTTACCTTTTGCAGTTCTCAAAACTGAATTTGACTCAGCGGAGATCACATGCCTCTTCTTCACAGCAAAAATGTTATAACATGAACAGAGTTAAGAAAAAGACCTTCATCCTAACTTCTACAAACCTATGAATACAGAATCAACCCCTTCAGTGCTAAGTTTCAAGAAGTTCAGTGAATAGAATAGAAACAATATTTTTCTGATTGTTTGGAGTGGAATAGATCTGCACAAGAAGAAAGTGAAACTAAGTGTGAGGAGGAGGGGCTGACAGTCTAAGTTTCTTAAAATATATATATTTTGTTTAGCCAAATTAGTTAACAAACATGGATGTTTAAGCAAATCACATATGCTGGAATGTTATTGTTTCAGTTGAATAAATCTATTTAAATTGTTATTATTAAGGTAATGATTATTTTTCTCCTTCCTAAGTACAGCAGAAAAGTTGTCCAAATATGAATGATTAACCTATTAAACTGGGGATAAAAAAACTAATATGAAAAGTTGTTATTCTAAAAATCTTCATCTACTTGTATATTAAAGTTATACCAGCAAGAATGAGTCTTTATGTAGAAAACTAGGATTTAAATCAAGCCTTACTGACTAGTGATTTAAATCAGTTTGATTTAAATCAAATCCACCCAGTGAGACACCATGTAGATTTCACTTGCAGAGACACAAGTTTACATCAGTTTTCATGCACCTTTCAGTGAGTTTTATACACAATGCAGATTCCTACGCAGAACAAAAAACCTGTACGTGATAGTAGTGCTGTGGTGTGAACAGGGCACATAGAGAACTATTATTTTTTTGTGCCCTTGCAGAACGTGTACAGAAAAACGGACATCTCTGCACCATGGTGTGAAACAGGCCTTAGACTACAGAATTTCTATATACTCTGAAAGGCTGCTTGATTACCACAAATATAGTATGCTATGTCATGAATTATTTGATTATGAATTATTCCATACAGGATATATGAACACCACAGCTTGTCTGAACCAATCAATTGGTTAGTTTCCAGAGACATCACTTTGGCACAGGGTAACTCATCTTAATAAAACTTTTAACCTCCCTAGCGGTCTGATTATGTTCATATTTCTGTGCTCAAAGTGGTACATTTTTTGCATGGAAATATGTATTTTTTTTATTGTAGGCCTGTAATATTTAGGAATAACTCACTGAAATCTGTCCGAACAAAAGTCTAGTAAACATCCGGGTATGATAAAACTTGAAACACGAAATCATAAATTATATTATAACAAGTAATCATAATAAATAATATATTAATAATAATAAATTTAATTCAATAATATAATCAAACCAAAAACACTGAAATTTGAAATATAACGCCAAGTTCGCACATCACTGAGCAAAGTCGCAGAATCGTTTTCAGTGTCTGATGATGAATTTCCCCCACGAATCATTATCACTCAATTCTGCAAGTGGTTCTGATTTACTATCGCTGTTCTCTAGCCGGTCTAAAACCGCTTTTGACCTAAAGGGACGCTTTTTGAACGCCATGGACATTTCTCAGTTTCCAGGCAGAAAGAACGATAAAAATGCAGGCAGGGCGCCGGACAAAGCACTCGGGACAAAATGTATGTGAAATGGTTTGATACAGGAATGTTATACTATGTGATTTTAGTGTATTTAGTGAATGTCAGTTTTTAAAATGTTCAAATTTCCTGCCGGTTCCGACCCCCGTACGTCCCGACGTTCGCAGGGACCGGAACCCGGATGCTGGCATCGGCCGGAGGACAAGGCCAGGGACGCTGCAGGGGACACATCGTGGGAGCGCAGGACAAGCTAAGTGCTGCAGGGAATCCCTGAGCAACGCTGCAGGGTATTCCCGAGTGTAGCTCGGGGTTACCGCTTGTGGTACTGAAACTTTACCCCGAGCTACACTCGGGAATACCGCCAGGGGTGTTAATACGGTTACATGAATGTGGACAGGTAGTCTTCAAAATACACAATGTAACACAAAATAATCCCATAGTGACCTCACCTGTACTTTGGATGACTGCACAGTAGTGGTGTCAGAATTATAACTTCATATTCACATGTGATTACTTCTGCCACAGACAAGATCTCGTGCTTGGCGTCAGGGTGGCATATATACATGACTGTACTGCTTCGTGGCAAGTTCTGTATTAAGCTGCACGGTGTCCCGTCCCCCATGTCCACCGGAAAGTACGGAGTCATCTGTCCTTCAATATTTTTGGTGGGGATCTGAAAATGAATGAATTTTGAATGAATGAATGAATTTTGCGAACAAAAAAAGACCAAAAATTTTGAAAAAAAAACACAAAAAACCCCCCCCCCCCCCCAAAAAAAAAAAACACGTTTTTCTTTGTTTCTGTATAAAAGTTTGCAAATAAATAATTGTTCTTCATAAATTTAGGCCAAGATGTATTCTGCTACATGTCTTTGGTGAAAATAACCCAAATTAGGATGTATTATTTAGTTTGTAGGAAAGTTATAGAGTTCACAAACTATGGGATATATCTGAATATTGATCAATCCTGAAGTACTGACAGCCTCTAATTTCTTGAGGTCCAAGAATGTCAGAACAGTACAGATATCCCCCAAATAACCCCTTTTTGCAGAGTAGACAGTCCGACGTACTTCAGAAAAGGCATAACGAGTTTTTGAAGTTGTATTTTTTTGGTCATAATTTTTCGGAAAATGAAAAAAATAAAAATAATTATTTTCACGATTTTTTTTTTTTTACATACTGTCACCAGTGCAGTACAGTGTCATCATATAACTGGCATGGCGGTGATCAGGGACACTGACTGGTGACAGTGTGAAAAAAAAAAAATATATATATATTTATTTTTTTTTATTATTATTTTACATTTTTTATTACATTTTTTTTCTTTTTTTTTTTAAGATTTTTTTTCATATTTCACTATGTCCAAAGTAGTACAATGTTACCATAGTAACATTGTACTACTTTGGGGAAGTGATCAGTATTTTTTTTTTTTTTTTTTTACACAATTTGCTAATAGCAAAGAATTACTTTGCTATAAGCAAGCATTTACCTGAATGACATCGATTCATTCAGGGTTTGTTTTTCTTTTTGTGCTTAGCTGTGATTTGTCCACAGCTAATCACATGACATGTGCATATGACCTGCTGTGACCATTCACACCTAGACACTAGTATACAATGGATGGCATGAATGAAGCCATCCATTGTATACAACTGTCATGTGACCTGCTGTGATTGGTCACAGCAGGTCACATGGTACCGGCAACGGGGCCGATACTCAGATCTGTCATCGGCCGTGTCCGAGGTACACGGCCGGTGACAGATCGTGCCGCTGCGCGGCTCTTCAAGCGCGTGAACTGTGCATGTGTGGGAGTACACCAAATTGCGGCCTCCCGGAAAGCTAGTGCATTTTTCCGGACGCCATAAGGCTATTGGCTGGGCGTCAAATGGTTAAAGCCTTTAGTGCAGTTCTACTTCTATACAGAAGTAGGGAAAAACAGCAGCCAGTGGACAGAGCTGTGGATATCATCAGAGGCCAGCCGCCTGAACCCAAAAGAGGCACCAGGCTTCTGATGATGGAGGACCAAAAAGACTAAGGGACCCCAGCTGCTGCAGCTGATTGCAGCAGGAAAATGCTGGATCCGCTGAGCAGGCGAGTCTCTGAATCCAGGACAACACTGCACAACAGTTAAGTGGAGAAAAAACCCCCAAAAAATAAAATCAAAGGGGCGACTGAAGCTCCTCTTTAAGCAGGCCAAGATTTGTATTATGTGACTATGGGGCAAGATGTATATTTTTTTGACCCCATTATAGATATGACTGGGGACTATCACACACTGGCATGAGGAAACGCCTGGAGAAGAAACAACTGTATTTAGGTAGGTTATCCCCCTCTTGTAAATGACACTACAGCAATATGAATAACGTTTTGCAATGATGACAATAGGAGACACTACACTGGGAATCCACTGGTAATCAGATACCATGCCTAGCTGGGTGTGAAACTATAGCATCTTCTACTTCCAGTAGATTACAAAGCGAACTACACAATATATGGCACAACAACAAAATGCCAATACCGGACAAATCCTCATATCCAGTAAATTAAAGTGGTTGTGAAGGCAGAAGGTTTTTCACCTTATTACATTCTATGCAGTAATGTATGAAAAAAACCTTCTGCATGCAGTTCTCTCTGCAGCCCCCCCGCCCCCCAATACTGACCTGAGCATGATCTCAGTCCAGCGATGTGCATGAAAGCGGAGGCTCTCTTGCTCCTCATTGGTTTAGAGACCGCAGCAGGAGCCACTGGCTCTTGCTGCTGTCAATCAGCACCAGTGATAAGGGAGTGGGGCTCAGGAGTGAACCTGCATGAGTACCTAATAGCAAGCAGATTGTAATGGGGGCACTTGGCAGGGGGGTGGAGCAAGGAGCACCGGAGGGGGACCCGAAAAGAGGAGGATTGGGGCTGCTCCATGCAAAGCCAATGCACAGAGCAGATAAGTATAACATGTTTGTTATTTTAATAAAAAAAAAAGCTCATGAAATATTTCATTGAATTTACATTTATATTTGTCATTATGATCAGTGAAAACATACAGATTGGCCATGGTTCCCCTCACAATTCATCCTAACTTATTAGGGCAGCACAGTTGCTAAATGACTAGCACTTCCGCCTGGCAGTACTAGGGTCGTTGGTTCAAATCCCAGCCACGGCACCACCTGCCTGGAGTTTGCATGTTCTCCCTGTGCCTACGTGGGTTTCCTCTGCTTTTCTTTATTTATAATGAAACTCAATAAAATCATCTTAACAATGCAAGCAATCACCATGCATTGTAAAATATAACCATCGTTTTATACCTAGATATTTATTTTACTCACTTTACTGCTCTCTGCCTTCTCTCCTTCAGGCCGTCGGTCCCCTGCAGGACATAGTAATCAAACATTATTAGCCAGACAACATTCTCAATTGAATATATAGAACGCTAAACAAAAGTAAACGGTGGTTGGGAGTGCTAGAAGCCATTTAATGGTTAGTGGGGTTGCTTGCAAACATAAATGCATAAAAAAATAACACCGTTTATGTACTAAATATGGGCAGCACAGTGGCTAAATGGTTAGCACTTCCACCTGGCAGTACTAGGGTCGTTGGTTCGAATCCCAACCACAGCACCACCTGCCTGGAGTTTGCATGTTCTCCCTGTGCCTGTGTGGGTTTCCTCCGGGTACTCTGGTTTCCTCTCACACTCCAAAGACATGCTGATAGGTTAATTGGCTCCTGTCTACATTGTACCTAGTATGTGTATGTATGAATGTGAGTTAGGGACCTTAGATTGTACGCCCCTTGAGGGTTAGGGACTGATGTAAATGTACAATATATATGCAAAGTGCTGCGTAAATTGACGGCGCTATATAAGTACCTGAAATAAATAAATATGGGGTTCAGTGATAAAAGTTGAGGAGAGATAAAGAATGCTTTAAACCCTCAAAAGATATAGAGTTAAATTCTATTAATGGGAAATTGTACCACAAACTCCCAGCTTTGCAGCTTCCATAGGGGGAAGAGAAAGGGGCAGATGAGAGAGCACAAGTCCTCTTTGTTTAGTGGGAGTGGATCGGGACACAGTCGACTTTGGGGAGCCTTCCAGGAAAATACAAAGCCGATGGGGAATTCAACCCACTGGTACCCACCTAAGCCTGCAAAGTTCTGAAGTTGGCTTTCAGAGGTCAAAGTAATCAAAATGCCAAACCTGCTTCAGGTGAGCTCTTCTTCACCATGTTTCCCAGGTAATACTCTTGAATACTCGTCTGTTTTTAAGAAAACAAAAAAGACTTTTGCAGTGTATGTTTCTTTGAAAATTCTTTAAAGCTGGCCATACATTACACAATTTTTCTATTCAATTTCCTTTAGAGCTACCTTCAGCTATGGAGTGCAAGGACCTGCCTGACTGCATACAAATGGAAAGTGTAAAATGGTAGAATGTATGGCCAGCCTAGGTGAAGTCGTGTCATTAGAGATTATATTCACATACCTGTCCTGCTTCTTTCTCCTCATGGTATTGCCGTATGTGCTTTCCATGGCACACCTCATAGGTCCAGTATGACTCGATCTACAATGGTACAAATTTGGATATTGGTAATGGAACCATCTGGTCATAAAATTCTCTAGCTTTAGATTCATCTCACAAATCAACAGGCAACTGCAAAGTTTTAATACATTTTTTTGCTGTAAAGCCCTTAGCATCGGTTCACACTGAATCTGACTTGAAGTCGCACGATTTCAAAGCTGCATAGCAGTGCGACTTGGCTGACATCTGTGCGACTTCATGCACAGATGTCTATGCGTCGCACCTGAAATTGCCAAGAATAGAAAATAGTTCAGGAACCTTTTTCCAATCAGTGCTGTACCCAGGGGCGTATTTACCACAAGGCATTTGCCTAGGGTGGCACTTTTCAGGGGGGCAGCGCCGCCCCCCCAAAAGAAAGGATGGAAGAAGGGACACACGCAGCATGGGGACCAGGTGGGATCTGAAAGAGGCTGCGGGCTGCTTGATGGTGTATACAGAGCCTGACTCTTGTTCCCGGGGATGTCCAGAACTGTGAAGGTGAAAGTCTTCTGTCTTGACCGGCGTGGGGTTGCCAATGTATAGATGTGGTGGGTAGTGGAAGGTTCTCTCGGGCAGGGGCCGGGGTGTTGTTGGTCAATGTCAGGGTCTCTTTGTGGGGGAGGGGGATGTTGGTCGGTTGTCAGGGTCTCTTCGGGAAGGGGGGGGGGGGGGGGGAGAGAGCAATTTTTTTGTTGCCTAGGGCAGCATGAAACCTAAATACACCACTGGCTGCACCACAAAGTTGAAGTTCCACCAATTTGAACGGTTCCATTGCCGACAATAGGGTGCGACTTGTCATGTGATTTGAAACTGTCAAAACAAGTCGTACTGGTGTGAACCAGGGCTAAACATCTAGATAATTACCTGCTTGTCTCTACTTCTCTTAGGTCTCAAGCACACATGCAATTAAGGCCACATAGCAGATTCTTGCAGCAGGTGTACTGTATGCAAAAAATTGTAACTGGAAAGCTTGGACAAAGCAATGGCAGGCTGACAGGAGCCGAGGCTGTTCACTTCTATCTGCACATTTAGGGACAGACAATCAGCCTGGGATGTAGAAAGATTGTGTCCAGGGCTGATCATCTGTCTATAAAAGCGGTACTAAACCCATAATCAAAAAAGCAATATACTGCAGCTTACCAATCGTTAAGATGTGGTGGCTGCATTAGATTCTTTTTTTAGGCTTTTTTCCTTCTATTTTCACCTGGTGATCTGGCCAGCAACATACCTCCTGCATAAGGCCCTTTTTTACATGGGCAGACACCACCAGTGGATCCGCCTGCTCAACAGGGGTTCTGTCCGCTGATCCTCACTAAGCAGGTGCAGTCTATGCAGCAAGGTGTAAAAAAAAAACAAAAAAACAAAAACAAAAAAAAAAAAAAACCTTCTCCCCCTGCAGCCTCCCCCCAATACTTACCTGAGCATGATTTCAGTCCGTGATGTGCACAAAAGCTGAGGCTCTCTTGCTCCTCATTGGTTTAGACTCCACCAGAGGATCCGCCTGCTCAACAGGGGTTCTGCCGCTGATCCTCACTGAGCAGGTGGATGACAGGTCTATGTCCGCTTTGCTTATGCAGAGCAAACACAGACCAAGCCTACTTTCCTTTATGGGAAGTCGGATGTAAACGGATCGCCTCTTCGCAACTGTCATCTGATCTGCTAGACAGATAGGGAAATCATCCCCAACCATCTGTTATCATATCCTAACCCTCTTGTATTGAACTGTATTGTTGCTGTATTGTCTCTCATTATTATTATTACACAGTATTTATATAGTGCCAACAGTTTGCTCAGCGCTGTACATTACAATGGGAGACAGTACATGAGACAGTACAATAACAATACAGTGCGATACACAAGGGGTTCGAGGGCCCTGCTCCTTGGAGCTTACAATCTAGGAGGGAGGGGATAGTGGTACAAGAGGAAATGGCTGTGGGGGACGGAGTGGTAGGATATAATGTAAAGCGCTGAGCAAACTGTTGGCGCTATATAAATCCTGTATAATAATAAAATAATATCAGATGCAAGTGGGTATAAATGGACACATCCGTTTACATCTGTTGATCTATAGACTAACAATTATAGGTAAAGTTCATCCAGTGAATACCCGATTGCCTCTCGTGGGATCAGGAAGGAATTGTTTTCCCTGCAGGAGCAAATTGGGTCATGCTTTGCTGGGTTTTTTTTTTATTGCCTTTCTCTGGATCAACAGTGGGAATAGGATTATAACTTTTTTTTTTTTTAATGGTTGAACTGGATGGACTTTTGTCTTTTTTCAGCCAGACTAACTATGTAACTATAGAAGACAATGGATGGTGTGAACAGGATGGTCTAAAAAACGAATAGGCGAACCCGATCGGTCCGCCCGTGTGAAAGGGGCCTTAGAGTGCATCCACTCTGGATGAAGAAGCACAGGGGCATCTTTGTCAGTTAGGGGAGAGGGGAGTGTTAGATGGACTAGCAGATTTAGATACCCTAACAAACTGAAGACAAACTGCAGCTAAAACTTTATAAACAGTTATAGCAAACAGTTTTTTTTAATTTTGGGATAAAACGTATACAAAATTAAATAAAAGCAGATCATTGTAAGCACCCCTGTCAGTGGTAAATGATTTGTCTGCATTCTGCTGGAGAGCTTGTTCTTGAAAAAAAAAAAAAAAAAAACAGATTTACTGGCCAGATCACCGGATGAAAATAAAAGAAAGAAAGCCTAAAAAAGAAAATTAATGCACTAATCACTTCTATAAAAATGGTAAGCTGCAAAAAACAAAATGTTTTCTTTTGGGTTTAATACCACTTTAACTGTGAGTGGGTGTGCGGAAACATGTGAACAGCGTGGACAGCTGTGGCTGCTCTCAGCCTCCCATTGCTATGTACAGACTTTCCAGCTGCAGCTGTTTGCACACAACTGTGATCCAGTGTCTGGCCCTAATTGCGGGTGGGAATGAGGCTGTATGCAGCACATGTGGAAACTGAAATACCCAGCGTTGGAACATGTTTATACACTCCATGAACATTTTGGGATTTAGATTCATATTTTACAGCAGCGTTCAGGGGCACAAACAAAAATGCCTCAAAAATGAGTTCAGAGAGGACTTTACTGGCACATTGCCCATAAACGCCTGAATACAGCCCTGGCCAAAAATGTTGAGAATGACACAAATATTAATTTTCACAAATTCTGCTGCCTCAGTGTTTTAAATCTTTTTGTCAGATATTACTATGATATACTGAAGTATAATTACAAGCATTTCCTAAGTGTCAAAGGCTTTTATTGACAATTACATTAAGTTTTTGCAAAGAGTCAATATTTGCAATGTTGACCCTTCTTTTTCACATCCTGACTGATGACAACTCATTCTTGCATAATCAATGCTTGGAGTTTGTCAGAAGTTGTGGGTTTGTTCACCCGTCTCTTGAGGTTTGACCACAAGCTCTCAAAGGTATTAAGGTCTGGGGAGTTTCCTGGCCATGGACCCAAAATGTTGAAGTTTTGTTCCCCAAGCCACTTCGTTATCACTTTTGCCTTATGGCAAGGTGCTCCATCATGCTGGTAAAGGCATTGCTCGTCACCAAGCTGTTCTTGGATGGTTGGGAGAAGTTGCTCTCGAGGGAAGTTTTTGTACCATCCTTTATTCATGGCTGTGTTCTTAGGTAAAATTGTGAGTGAGCCCACTCCCTTGGCTGAGAAGAAACCCCCACACATGAATGGTCTCAGGATGCTTTACTGTTGGCATGACACAGGACTGATGGTAGCGTTCACCTTTTCTTCTCCGGAGGTTTTTTCAGATGCCCCAAAAAAATTGGAAATGGGATTCATCAGAGAAAATGACTTTACCGCAGGTCTTAGTTCAGTTCCTGTACCTTTTGCTGAATATCAGTCTGTCCCTGGCCCTGTTTTTCCTGGAGAGAAGTGGCGCATTTGACCTTCTTGACACCAGGCCATCCTTCAAAAGTCCTCACCTCACTGTGCATGGAGATGCCCTCACACCTGTCTGCTGCCATTCCTCTACACTGGTGGTGCCCAGATCCTGCAGCTGAATCAAATTTAGGAGATGGTCCTGGCGCATGCTGGACTTTCTTGGGCGACCTGAAGCCTTCTGCTCAACAACTGAACCTCTCTCCTTGAAGTTCTTGATGATCCGATAAATGGTTGATTAGGTGCAATCTTAGTAGCAGCAATATCCTTGCCTGTAGATCCCTTTTTGTGCAAAGCAATGGATGACTGCACATGTTTCCTTACAGGTAAATTAATAGTTGTGTCATTCTCAAAACTTTTGGCCAGGGCTGTATGTGCGGAAACTACTTCCAGTGGATTGAACACATGAAAATTTTGCCTGTAACTGTGCATAATTATGCGCTAAAACAAGCATTTTTTATGCCAGATTTTTCTGCCAGTTCCTGGCAGAAAGATCCAGTGTAGTCAGATGTGTTTTAATACATCCACGTGCGCGATTATTGTCTGATGGTCTGTGCTTTCCATAATTCCAGTGTTAATGACCCAGAGAAAAAATGCAGACCAGGAAGGTTGGAGTGCAATCTGCCTAATTGTTCTAGGCTAGTGACTGACAATGGACTGGGGTCACTACACAAGAACAACCACCAAGGAATTAAAATATTCAAAAAGGACATCAGCAAAGGCAGCCTTTGGCACAGGTTTCCTGTAGGAAAATTCAGAAGAATCCAGAACAGATACCCGATATGAACAGCTGGTCTGTCTAAAGAGAGGTTCTAGCAGTTCAGATGGTGATGGTCCTTTATATTCCCGTTCTTCGTCCTTAAAAAAAAAAAAAAGTAACACATTGATGTACACCATTTTGGTTTTTTCAATCAATCATATTAATACATTTCGAAGAAGTCAACCACGAAAGATTTAAACCTAATCCAATTAATTACAGAAGTATTTGAAATGCTTATTTGCTGAGTTTTTAGTTTGATAAATTATTTAACCCCTTCACGTCTGCGCCTCTTGACCCTTTAAGGGTTCCAGAAGCCGGAAGGAGGGGCGGGGTTTAGGGTCATGTGACCACCATGACGCGCTGTCACGGCGGTCGCATGATCGGGAGAGGTCCCAATTGAAAGAGGAGATCGGGACCTTTCTGTGAGTACCGGACGTGTGTGCTGGGAGCGCGATGGGCGCTCGCTCTCGGCACATATGTCCTTTTTTAATAGAATGCAAATGTGCAGCCGCTCGGCATCTAGGCCTAGACGCCAGGAGGCCACACATTTGTGTGCAGCCGGCGTGAAGAGGTTAATTCACTTGCCGTGTCATGGAACAGGACCACTCTAGAACAGTCAATTCCCTAGCACAGCTATAGTTCCCCCTTCCTCATGCAAATACATTTCCTGTTCTGGGAGTGTCTAAATAATGTCTGTGTTGGCCCAGCTCCTGCATCCCTACATAGCCTTTTATGTAGCTGCAGGGGAGAAGTGACGGGGAATACTATAGATTGTCATTGTATGACAGCATTGAATCTCCTGGGGCTTCTCACATCTCATCCAAGATGTAGCGCCGAGTAGCGGTCTCATGACTTCTGAATGTCTACACAAAGGAGGATTTTTCAGTTAAACATCATGCATAAAACCTGTTAAATGAACATATAAACCTATGGCAAGATTGTTGTTAAAATGGCTTGATGACAGTGTCTCTAAACATTTGCCAACCACCCTGTAACAGTTTTACCACTACAGGGTGGCCACTCTGTGCAAAATCATGTATATATACGTGATTTTGCACTTCTGGGTAGGGGGTGTGTGCATGTTGTCCTACCCGCGCTGTCATTGTCTCCAGTGTCAATTACCGGGTCCCAGCCAGCGATTCATGGCCAAGACTCGTGATCAGCAGAGCAGCTGACAGGAGAGTGAAAAAAAAACCAGAGCTCTCGCCCATCAGTGGGGATGTGCTGGTTTTTGTCTCTCTGCAAACAGGGAGATAAAAACCAGCAGTTCCCCTAGTAAAACACAACACAGTAATCACACTACCAAACACAGTTAATCCTCTAAACGCCCCCGATGTTATCCCCTTCCTGCCCAGTGTCATTAGTACAGAGTCAGTGCATTTATTAGCACTGATTGCTGTATTAGTGTCACTTGTGATGTCAGTGGCAGTTAGTTCCCACCCAGTGCCAGTTAGTGTCAGAATGCCCGTCATACTATCGCAGTTCCGCTAAAAGTCGCTGATCGCTGCCATTACTAGTATTAAAATAAATAAAAATTCCAATAAATATACTGCCATTTGTAGAGGCTATAACTTTCACGCAAACCAAATAATATACACTTAATGGGAATTTTCTTTTTTTTTTTTTTTTAACCACAGACATGTAGCAGAATACATTCTGACCTAAACGATGAAGAAATGTTATTTTTTATTGGATATGTTTTACTGCAAGAAGTATTCGTTTTTTTTTTTTCATTTAGAACGCAAAAAATAAAAACCCAGTGATGACCAAATACCACCAAAAGAAAGCTCTATGTGTGTGAAAAAAAAATTATATAAATTCATTTGGGTACAGTGTTGACATGTCTCTTCTGGGCACCACTCAGCGTATTGCAACGCAGACCGCATTGCAATACATTGCTTCTTGGCTGTGCTAGCTGAGAAAGTGACACCCGTGACCGTGAAGTGACATCACACACATCGCCTTCCGGGTCACAGAAAGAAGGAGAGGAGAGTGGATGTTCGTCCACTCTCCTCCACCCACCATGACGCTCACCCAGCTAGCAGATGGGCAAGCAGGGCACGAATACATGGCGGGAGCGCACACGTGCAGGGGGAACGGCCAGGTACTGGGGGCTGTGGAAGCGATCAAGAGGCAGCACTGCCGTCCGACTGCTTCCACCTGCCGGTCAGTTTTATTGACAATCCCAGTGGCAGCAGCCACTGGATTGTGTATAAACCCCCCCCACCCCCCCAAGTCAGGTCCGTACAACGTACAAACCTGGCAGCAAACGGGTTAAAGTATTATTAATATACAGGATTTATATAGCGCCAACAGTTTGCGCAGCGCTTTACAATATAAGGTAGACAGTACAATTACAATACATTTCAGTACAGAAGGAATGTGAGGGCGCTGCTCAAGGAGCTTACAATCTAAAGTAGCGGAGTGCTGAATAGCAAAAAAAAAAAATGGCCTGGTCATGAAGGGGGTAAATCTTCCAGGAGGGAAAGTGGTTAAAGCCCAGACAATAGAGTAGTTACCTGACTTTCGCTGGCAGTAAGTGGAAGCATACACTTGTATTTCTCTTTATCAGCAGTTGTCATAATGATGTAATTGTCCTCCTTGTAAGGAATTCCTGTGGTTGGCTGTAAGAAAAATGTTTGTCACAATACATTTCAATCTCAGGACAGTGTGGCATATTTCTGCAGCTTTAGAACAGTCAGTGTTGGTAACTGTTGTCTTTTTTATTTTTTTACCACTTCACTACAGCAGAGTGGTGGGCGTGCATTTCTGCAGTGCCGTTTACAAAACAGGTGGTCACTTGTTAATACCGGTGATCTGAGCTGTCATTAGACAGCCTGGGTCAAAAACACAATGTACAGAGCTGATCAGAGCTGCTCTGTACCATGTGATCAGCCTTCCCTTTCCTGCCACAACAGTAGAAGGGGAAGGGGGGGGGGGGGGTATTTACCAATGATGATCTGTGAATGGATGGATCAGCAGCAGTTGATTTATGGTGGGGAGTTCTAATTGATTGTGGGATCATTTATTGTAACTTTTACCCCACCCCTCCACCCCATACATCTCATTTCTATGCTGTCTATATGTGACCTGTATATTTACCCCCCCCCCCCCCCCCCATCTCCATCTACCCACTGTATATAACTACTTGGCCAAAAGGGGTATTTTTAGGTGTTTTCATACTGTAATGGCATTTTTACTGGCTGTGCTTTAAGACAGAAAAGGGAAACAGGATTTTTTCCCTCAAAAACATTGGTTTTTATTCCAGCACTTCTCAGCCTTTTTGCCCCAGGGCAACCCTTGAAATTATTTTAAGATCTCTGAAAACCCCAGCAAAAAACAATTAATTGACAGTTAGTGGGGAAAATGCCCCACTTACAATGGTGGCCAGTGGTAAGAATGCCCCACTTCCAATGGTGGCCAGTGGTAAGAATGCCCCACTTCCAATGGTGGCCAGTGGTAAGAATGCCCCACTTTCAATGGTGGCCAGTGGTAAGAATGCCCCACTTCCAATGGTGGCCAGTGGTAAAAATGCCCCACTTCCAATGGTGGCCAGTGGTAAGAATGCCCACTTCCAATGGTGGCCAGTGGTAAGAATGCCCCACTTCCAATGGTGGCCAGTGGTAAGAATGCCCCACTTCCAATGGTGGCCAGTGGTAAGAATGCCCCACTTCCAATGGTGGTTAAAATGCCACCTTTGTGGCCCGTAACAGGAAAAGAAAATGCCCCACTTCCAAGGACCAATCGGTGGCCAGTGGTCTTTAGAATGCCCACGACAATTCCAATATCTGGGGCCAGTGGTAAAAATGCGATACCCAGATTTACATGGTTTATTCCCTTGACGCTGGTAAGAATATGCCCTCTCGGCATCTGGGTACAAATGGTGGATAAAATGCCACCTTTGTGAGAAAGGCCCGTACACAGGAAAAGAAAATTGTTTTGAAACTGGAAAGTTTCCGATCATGGGACTTTGGCGTACAAGGACCAATCGTCCAATCTGATCTTTCTTTTAAGTACACAGCTTTCAAGAGCAGATCACGACAATTCATGCGCTCTCTAAAAATCTGAGCTAGGGACAAGTGCGAAAATGTTCGATGACCTTAAAGATTGTAACCATTGCTGTTTAATCCCTTGACGCAATAAATAGGTATCGCATGCAAATCAACTGCATGATGCGCCTCTCGGCATCTGGGTCAAATTGACAGCGTCACGGAAACGCATATGCGCATGTGCAATTAGAAAATTCATATGGGAGCTGAGAAAGTGCGCCCTGCTCGGTGGGTCCCACAGACTCTGTCAATAGACTCCTGGAAGGTCCCAGATCTCCCTCTTTCGATCAAGACCTTTTCCGATCATGGGTCACTGCCGTCCTCCTGGTCGTGATCCCACGGCGAGATGCCTCACATGACCCTTGCCTGTGAAACCCACACCCCACCTTCCGTTTCTGAAACTCTTTAAGGGGAGGCCGGGAATTCGCCTATGCGCAAACTGAGGTTACCTATCAGTGCTTTTTCACCTGGTAGTAATCTGAAAATACAATACAAATACATTACTTCACTTTTGAAATTTTTTTCTTTTGTACAAGAATATGTTTAGTACCCTTTTCATTTTCAATATGGAGACTAGCATTCCAAAAAAACGGATGATCATTCGTCCAACATTGTTATCGTGTGTACAGGGCATTACAGACATAGGGGTGTTCAATTCTTAAAGCCCGACTCCCAGGTCATGCAGTTCCGGGTACCGGACAAGAAGGTGTTTTGTTTTCCATTTTACCCTGCTCCAGGCAAGCCGCACGGTTTAGAGCTGACCATCTGCTCTCTCTTATAAAAGCAATCCAAGTGACTAACTAGCCACTGGATGGATTTTACAAGCAGCGGGAGGGAAAATTCGTTCCCCTCGCCGCCTTCCACGGGCTGTCCAGTAGCCTACGTCATCTTCCTCTGCTTTCTACCTATTGGCCAGATCAGGAAGAAGCGGTCCTGCGCAAACCAGGGGCTGTGAACTTGACATCACGACTTCCCTCATCTCCAATCGCGGGAGGTGTGCATTGGTCCAGTCCTACCCCCTACCACCCATTGGTGGAGAGCACCGCCAGTCAGAGCCAGGTGTTCTCCGCATTTCAGGAAAGGCCCCAGTGTCGGTGTGGCATGAAAGTCTGCATCTACTACGCATGTGCCGACTCATTGAAGCAATCAGAGAAAACAAGCGAGCTCAAGCTGAAGATTTCTTGAAAGCTCTTAACTCCATAAATGTGGGGCAACAAATAATAATGCCGGTCCTTGGGAACACACAGGGCGATACAGGATTTCATGGTTGGGACAGTGTCAAACCCCGGGGACACACGGGGGGAATGCTCTCTCTGCTCATACAGAATGCCCAGGAAAATCCTGTATCCCCCGTGTGTCCCCAGGGATCGACACTGTTAATAAATGATGAAAGATGTTTGTGTCCCCGCTGGGCTGTCACAGTGCTCACAATGGGAGATGGCCGCCCCAGAGTGGATCATGTTCTTCTAGGCAGCTGCCTTGGTGTTAGCATGGAGCCTGGAGGTGGAGGGCTACCCGGAGAAGGGGGGGAACGTCACCCTGCTGTACTACAACACCTCCGCTGGCCTACCCACTGGCCTCCAACTCTTCTGCCACGGCATTCCCCCCGTGCAAAGGCGAACGCATGTGTCGGTCCTGCATGCACGCAAATAGCAATCGTCCCACACGTGGGGCACGGGCAGTAATTCTACCACCAGACCTCCTGTGTAAATCTAAAGTGGCAACCTGTAAAGGCTTTTAAATGTCACCTAAAGATAGTAAAAATGTATTTTGTTTGTTGCCGTTGCACGTGTGCGCAATTTTAAAGCGTGACATATTTGGTATCTATTTATCGCTTTTATATTTTACCAAAAAATTTAAGTTATGTACTGTGTTGTTTAGCATTAAAATTCAATAAAGTATTTTTTTTTGCAAAAAACTTGCATTTGAAAAACAGCTGCGCAAATCACGCATGACAAAAAAAATTGCAACACTCACCAATTTATTCTCTAGGGCCTCTGCTTTTTAGAAAAATATAGCGCTTGGGGGGGGGGGGTTCTAAAAAAATGTTCTAGCAAAAAATAAAAAAAAAAACATTAAAAGTTTAAGTCGCCATAAAGCTCTTTTCATTTTTTAAAAGCTCCAGACATTCCTTAAAGTACCTCTGCCTAATAAAAAACAACTGTGGGCGGCACAGTGGCTAAATGGTTAACACTTCCACCTGGCAGTATTAGGGTCATTGGTGGCCAGTGGTAAGAATGCCCCTCTTACAATGGTGGCCAGTGGTGAGAATGCCCCTCTTACAATGGTGGCCAGTGGTAAGAATGCCCCTCTTACAATGGTGGCCAGTGGTAAGAATGCCCCTCTTACAATGGTGGCCAGTGGTAAGAATGCCCTCTTACAATGGTGGCCAGTGGTAAGAATGCCCCACTTCCAATGGTGGCCAGTGGTAAGAATGCCCCACTTACAATGGTGGCCAGTGGTAAGAATGCCCCTCTTACAAATGGTGGTTAAAATGCCACCTTTGTGGCCCGTACACAGGAAAAGAAAATTGTTGAAACTTTTCGTACAAGGACCAATCGTCCAATCTGATCTTTAGTACACAGCTTTCAAGAGCAGATCACGACAATTCATGCGACAATATCTGAAGGGACAAGTGCGAAAATGTTCGATACCAGATTGTACGATTGCTGTTTAATCCCTTGACGCTGATCGCATGCAAATATGCGGCCTCTCGGCATCTGGGTCTTGACAGCGTGCGGCCGCATATGTGCGTGCATCTAGAAAATTCATATGTGCTGAGAAAGTGCGCCCTGCGCGCTCCCAACACGTGTCAATGACTCCTGGAAAGGTCCTGATCTCCCCTTTCGATCAAGACCTTTTCCGATCATGGGACTGCCGTGATGGCGAATCACGGCGGCCACATGACCCTAAAACCCCACCCCACCTTCCGGCTTCTGAAACTCTTTAAGGGCCGGGAGGCGCCGGCGCAAAGAGGTTAATCAGTGCAGTAGTAATCTGAAAATACAATACAAATACATTTATAAAAGATAGTGAGCGCTCTCTAAAAATGTCAGCAGCTAGAACACTATAGGCAACCACAATGCCTCAAAAATATATCAATATGACCTTAAAGCAATGAAGTGCAGCGCTTAACCAGGTGAAAAAAGTCAATAAATAGGTATCCGCAGTAAATCACTGCATAGATGCGAATTCCCACGGCCTCCACTCTGTCAAATAGTAGAAATGCGCACTCACCGGAAACGCATAGGTTATGCGCATGTGTGATTATGCATCACAGGCAATGGGAGCATCAGAGGTTAGGGCACGGGCAGTAATTCTACCACCAGACCTCCTGTGTAAATCTAAAGTGGCAACCTGTAAAGGCTTTTAAGATGTCACCTAAAGATAGTAAAAATGTATTTTGTTTGTTGCCGTTGCACGTGTGCGCAATTTTAAAGCGTGACATATTTGGTATCTATTTATCGCTTTTATATTTAACCAAAAAATTTAAGTTATGTACTGTGTTGTTTAGCATTAAAATTCAATAAAGTATTTTTTTTTTGCAAAAAACTTGCATTTGAAAAACAGCTGCG